TATTATGACAATAAGCATTCAGAATGAAGATAGCATAGTAGAGTGGACTTGGGGGGAGGGATTGAATAACAGTGAAATAATTTTTTTTTTTTACTTTTCTAATAGAAGGGCAAATTTGGGGAAAGAGGTGGGCAGAGAGAAGAATACAACAATGAATGAAAGGAAATCCAAAGTCTCTGTAAACTTTTATGAAAATAAATTTAAAATAAAAAAATGTATATAACCAAAACAAAATGTAAAGGAATTATTACATAAAAACTAATAAAATATATTTTTTGAAAATTCCTAGCCTCGAAGTAAAGACTTGTTTCAATCTCTCCAAGACAGACCTCTTTGTTTACTTGGTAGTCAATAGCATGTTCAAGACTCTTCTTCAGCACCACAATTCGAAGGCATCTACTCTTCTTCTGTCATCCTTAGTCATTATCCAACTCTCTGAAGCATAATAAGTAATTGAGAAGACCATGGCCTGGATTAGAAGAACCTTTGTATCTAGACTGACATCGTTGCACTTCAACCCTCTGGAGAGGTCCCTGACAACAGGTTTTCCCAATGCAATTCATCTTTTGATTTCCTGATGGAATGTTGACTGTAGTTCTGAGCAAGCTGTAGTTAATAACAACCTCAATCTCTACTCCATTGAATATGGTGCTGCCAATTGGCCCAGAGGTGAAAATCCCTGTCTTCTTGATGTTGAACTTCAATTCATATTGAAGACTATAGTCTTTGACCTTTTGCAGCAAGTGCTTCAGGTCTTCTTCAGTTTCAGCAAACAAGATTGCATCATCTGCATATTGTAGGTTGTTAATGAGTCTTCCTCTAATCTTGATGGCACACTCCTCCTCAAAAAGCCCTGCTTCCTGAATGACCTGCTCTGCAGGCAGATTGAAAAGGTATGGAGACAGGATGTATCCCTGATGCATTTCTTTTCTGATTTTGAACCATGCAGTGTTTCCTTGCTCCGTTCTGAGGACTGCTTCTTGGTCCAAGTATAGGTTTCATATAAGCACGATCAAGTGTTCTGTGATTCCCATTTTCCTCAAGGTTAGCCACAATTTATTGTGATCCACGCAGTCAAATGCCTTTGAAATACAGATAGAAATGAAATACAGATAGACTTCTTCTGGTACTCTCTGCGTTCTGCCAAGATCCATCTGACACTGGCAATAATGTCTCTAGTACCACCACCTCTTTTAAACCCAGCCTGTATTTCTGGTAGTTCTCTGCCAATGCACTGTTAAGTTTTTTCTGGATAATATTCAGCAGGATTTTGCTAGTGTGTGATATCAGTGATATTTTTCAATAATTTCCACACTCTATTGGGGTCACCTTTTCTTTGGAATGAAAAGCCTGATTTTCAGTCAGTTGACCAAGTAGTTGTTCTTCAGATTTCTTGGCACAACTTGAAGAGCACATGCAGAGCAGATCTGTTTCCTGAAATATGTCAATTGGTATTCCATCAATTCTTGGGCCTTTATTTTTTGCCAAGT